GTAAGTGACCGTGAAGGAATTGACAACCCCTAATCGCTTTGGTTGCGTGGAGCTATTTGTTTTGTGTAGGTACGAGGGACTCGCGCGTGGCCTCCTACTGGATTGATACCATGGTTCTCAAAAACTGAGGGAAATACTTACGCTACTTTGCTGCATCATCCTCTCCTCTTCGGGGAAATCCAACGCAAGCACAAGAGGTAGCACCAGCCGCCCTGGTTTTGTCAATCATTGCCGCAAAAAGGTCCGCCGCAAAGTTGAAAGTAAGTGGCGAGCCAGGGTCCCCTTGTCTGAGGCCCCTTTTGTTCCGGAAAAATTTGCCCATTTCCCCGTTAATAGTGATCGATGTATGCCCACAGGAGACAAGATGCATAATGCGTTGTACGAAACCAGCCTCAAAACCCTTTTTGAGGAAGGCTTCTCGAATAAACTCCCAATTTACTCGATCGTACGCCTTTTCAAAGTCCAATTTCAGTAAGATCCCTTTCCTCTTGGTACGTTTAAGCTCGTGGACAATCTCACCTAGCGCAATGGGGCGTTCTAGGATGTTGCGGCCTTTCAGAAAAGTAGTTTGGCTACGCAAGATCACACGTTGCGCTACCGGCGCGAGGCGCGTAAACCTTAGCACACAGCTTGAAAGGCACGTTGATCAAAGTGATAGGCCTAAAAAGTATAATATTATCGGCTCCTTTTACTTTGGGAATGAGGCTAATGACCCCATAATTGATGCGAGCCAAATCTACCGTACCTAGCGCAAACCCGTTGACTAATTCATAAAAGATGTGTTTAAAACACGACCAGAATCTTTTAGAGAAAGCAACTGGCCAGCCGTCTGGCCCAGGGGCCATGTCGGTTTTCATGTCGGCCAGCGCTTGGTCGATCTCTTCATGGAGGAAGGCAAGGGCCAGCCCGTCGTTCTCCACTTGGGACACCCTCTCGGCCGGCCCCCAGAACCCTTCCTGGAGGCCCACCACCTTCTCCTCGGCCATACCCAATAAACCGACAAAGAAATCATAAATATGTGTAATGATTTCCTGCTGAGTCAGCAAGAGCCCGCGCTCTCCGAATTCAGGCGCAGGATCAAACTTTTCCTTTTCCTGCCATTAGCGAAAGCATGAAAATAGCTTGTGTTTGCGCGGCGACAGGAACTGACCAGGTTCCTCCATAGAGGCAACCACCATCGACGAGCTAGCAGCAGGGAGAGGCACAAAGGACCACCAGTGGTGCTCGGGGTGCGGAGCGAGTCCCGCCTAGCCATTGTGGGTGTGAGGGCAAGCCCCACCGCCGCCTACAGCTGCACGAACTTGTTAGGTGGCAGCTAGGGTCGAAAACATATTTTAGAGCACCTGCACCCAGGCCCCTCTTATCTAGCCATCAATTCTTTGCATTAAGATCCGTGCAAGTACATTTTCTCTTTTTTGTTTCTCTCACATAGAACATGTCTTCAAGTTCAAAACTTTGCGGAACAGTAAATCTTTAACTAGAATCTAGATAAAACTTTTAGATTTTTTCGTCCAACATAAATATACAAAGTAAGTTTTCTTTGATTAGAAAATCTTATTTTTAGTATTTATGTCGGATGAAAAATTCTGAAAGTTTCATCCCATATTCTAGTTAGTAAGATTTGCTGCGCTGCAAAGTTTGAAGTTCAAGACATGTTTCTATATGAGAGGAACAAAAAAAAAGAAAATTGCATATACAAAGTTAGTTATCTCGCACAGATCTTAAAGCGATATCGGAGAGTCTGGATAGCAGGGCCTGGGTGCAAGTGCTCTAAAAATCTGTGTCCCAGCTAGGATTGCGCTTGCATCCCCGAGTCACCCAAGGAGGACGACATGCTAGAGGGGCTATAGCTGGTCTTTGTCCATAGCGCCCAAACAACTGATCAAAGTAAATTAATCAGACTTCGAATGCACGAACATGACCTTTGATCTAGAGTGCATGGTCTAGAAATCCCTACTATGTGTTTTCCTCGGTACAGGTTTTGCCTCTCATCGGAACTATGCATTTTCTAAAAAAATCATGAGCTAATTCTAAAAAAAAACTCATGTGCTGTTTTTCTTTTTGAAATGTTTGAATTGCTTACCACATATGTCAGCTTCTCCCAACAGCTACAACTTGGTAGGCGGCAAACCTGGATAGGACACCCACTATATCTTGATGAGTGGGAAGCAAAGCAGATCGGCTCACATGAGGAGCCTTTAGTTCGTTGACCAAAGAAACATTGTCGGTTTCCAGGATTATAGGACCGAGGTACACCTTTTGCTGCTCCTACAAACCAATCAGACTGAAATAAACATCTGGCCTTTGTGATTTCTCGCTGCTGCTCAGGCATACCTCTAACCTGTGACAGGGATAAATGAAGCGTCCATGTTGACTTTAAGGCCTTGTACAATGAGAAATGCTTAGGGAGATGCTTAGAAAAATAAACCGGGTTCTCTGAAGCACCGGTGCCTATTTTTATAGGAGAGACGCTTAGTTAAGCGTCTACCCTATACAAATAAGCACCAGTGCTTAAGGAAATCCTGGTTTATTTATCTAAGCACCTCTCTTAAGCACCTCCCATTGTACAGGGCCTAACTGTGCCAATATCTGAAGCAGGATCACTTGGGTCCAAGGTTGATCAGGTTCAACAGTCCACACATCTTTCCCAGCCCCTTCCACTGAAAACATTGAAAATTCTTTAATTTCCTCTGCATATTGCTTCAGGAAAGCAACGGAGTGCGGGGTTGATTCTTTCCCGAGGCCATGCATGCAATCTTATCTCAAAAACCAAGATCTCCATAGAGCCAACAAAATTTCAGCCCTTACCTCCTTTGGGCTATTGCACAGAAGAATTTCAAGCCAGTCATCTCCCGTGTTCCTGAATTTGCATTCTTCTGATAAGCTCCATTCGTCCCTCATGACGCAGTGCTCTACTTTTTTTGTGCACTCAATGACAACATAGTTCTCGTCCTCAATGGCGTTACCCGAACCCCACAAACGTCATCCATAACCATTGTTCTCCTGAATTCGTTTCGCTTGGCCGTAAGGGATTTTGTAGTAACTCTCCACCTAAAATTTCTTATCTTTTTCAGCACTTCCACTTTCCAGATGGCATCCCAAAGGCTTCGGTCTGATGCGTCATTTGAGGACAAAGACGCCACAGGGTGGTCTCCTTTTTTTTCTGAAGCAGAAACCATAGAACAATAGTTCTACTGCAATTTCATTAAATAAAATATATACAGGGTTACAAAAAAACAAAAGAAGAAACTAACAGACTAACCAATCCCAGCTCTAGGAAAATCCATAACAAAAAAGATTAATTCAAATGAACTTCAATCCACTGACTAAAAGCTTCTCTGTGCTAGTATATAAGCACTCCAGACCTTTAATACCCCGGTTTTTTCAAAATGCTATCCCACACAACATTCCTCAACATCCAAAGTAGCTAACTTCATGTTACAGATTATATCCACGTCAAAAGGTTGGAAGATCTGATTGATAAGTTGGCCATTCCGTGAATTAGTGCCCTGGATCATAAGTTGGTTTACCCACCGAAGCCTCGATCTTCTCTTAAACATGGCCGATTCTTAGAACCTGAATGCTTTTGCCATTTCCCACTCTTCGTATTAGCCCTTTCTTCAGGAGCTCCATACCAAATTTGAGGCCCCTACAGGCTTGAGAGGCATTTGATGCAAAAACCGTGTCCAAAAAGTCGGCATTTCAGTAATACTTAGATTTAAGTACCATTGCACATAAACTGTCAAGATTTTGCAGCAAACGTTATCCCTATGTTGCAAGCAACGCCGGGTTTAAAAGATGCCCGTCCCTAAACCCAATTCCTCATGCCCTTTTTGGTTTGATCATATGGTCGCAGGCCATCCATTGGACTTCCCGTGGGCATTCTTGTCTCCCCACCAGAAATCTCTAATTAATTTCTTTTATTTCTCACAAAATCCCATTGACAACAATTTGGCTCCCGGGCTCAGATGAGCCCAAACATGAATAGTAAAATTGCTAAAAATAGTTTTAAAAATATGTACTTTTTTTGCAAGCAAGATGCTCAAATGCGTGATGTCCACGCAAATTTGATGAAGTTTGGACATTCGAGGAGCTCGTGCCCAAAAAGACAAATTCAGGGTGTTTTGGAAACATTTGAAAAAACACTATTCGGAGCCGGTTGTGCCTTTTTTTGCCATGAGCTCCTCGAATGTCCAAACACCCTAAAATTTAGACAGACATCACGCATTTCAGCATCTTGCTTGGAGAAAAATTTAGATTCTTTTAAAAAAATTATTGTTCACCAGGAGCAGATGAGCTCAAACTTAGAATTCAATATCCGAACTGTTAAGACATTCTTTCAAATATAGTCTATAGGGTGGGAGTGCATATAAGAAATCATCGAAGTGGTCATGCCACAGAAAGAAAGAAAGAAAGAAAGAAAGAAAGAAAAGCAGTCCAAGAGAATGTACGTGTACATATGAATCATGTAAATGGTGAGTAATATGTAGGACAGTTACAACCATCGATAATACGAACCAAACCGTATATGAATGTATTACATTGGACCCCGGGAGCATCTAATAAGGTGCTCGAAGTATTTGAGAAGGGCATTAGAGCCCTGAAACATGGGTGTGGTAACTAAATAGACGTGAATATCTTTGCAAGATGTCCAAAGAAACGTAACCAAATGGTTCACGGAAAATGGATGTCCAACGCGGAAAATGGTCGGGATGCCCTGCACCAAGGTGAGCACACTTAAACGTGCAAAATTATTATTACCGTCTTTTTTGAACTTCTCTTTTGCAAAGTTTAACCTCTTTCTAGATTTTAGAACAAAGTTGAACTATTCTCATGCAAAGTTTGCAAAACATGATACCATTTGGCGAGCTAATAAAAACATGATACCATGCCTTGGCCCAAGTAGTACTCCCTCACTCCCAGTCTCACTTGTAGAGAAAAAAACTTGTGGAGAAATCCCCTTTCCTCTGACTCTGAGAAATCCCCCAGATCCAAAAATCATGGACGGCGACAGGCCGACTACGGCGGCCGCGGCCGCGTCGGTGAGGTCGGTGCTCGGCGACGACGACCTCTTCCGCGAGATCCTCCTCCGCCTCGGCTTCCCCAACTGCCTCGTCCGCGCCTCCCTCGTCTCCAAGCGGTGGCTCCTCCACGCCTCCGACCCGGCCTTGCTCCGCCTCTTCCGCGAGCGCCACCCACCCCGCCTCCTTGGCTTCTGCGTCAGCAACGACGCCCGGTATCAGTTCGTGCAGCTCGAGCAGTCCCCGGAGCTCGCCGCTCTCTCACGCCGTGTGGCCTCCTCCTGCAACGCCGCCTTCGGCTGCCGTGGGCCGGGTATCGGACACAGCCGGAACGGCCGCCTCATCACCACGCTCTTCCACGGCGGAAGGGTCAAGCACTCTCTCCTCGCGCCGCTGCTCTCCGGGGAGTCCGAGGTGGTCCTCTCCTCCCACCGATCCCGCCGCCCCACATTGAGTCCGCTGGAGGGGTGTTCACTATGATTTTCCTAACCGAGGATGGGAGCCGCGGCGGCATCACCTTGGTATATCTGTGGCAGGTCCAGCGGAAAGTCCGTGCGGAAGTATACGTGCTGGGATCCGGCGGTTGGGGCTTCCCTGCCACCGCAATGACAGAGGTCCCGAATCCTGCAGCCTTCCTTACAAAAATGCTACCACCCGTCCGTGGCAAGGTTTTCATGGTGACCAGCTTTGGGTGCATCCTGGGTCTAGATTTGGCTGCGGCAAGGTTCCTCATGCTCGAGCTCCCAGCTGGAGTAGGGCGCAATTACATGCTCTCATCTGCCGAGGGTTCCGGGATATATCTTGTCAATGCAGACGGGTTTCAGCTCAGTGTGTGGCTCCATCGGATGATGAGCAACAGCGATGGTGCGAGCGGCTGGCTGCTGGTGGACACATTTTGTGTCCGCGAGGCATACAGTTCTGCTGGTCACAATTGGGTTTGGATGCCACAAGATGGCGATTTTCTTGGTGTTGATGCAGTTGGGGACAATGCCGAGTTTGTATTCTTGGATTATGCGAGATATGGTGTTGTCCTTTATGTTCATCTGAGGAGCAGGGTTGTTAAGAAGGTGTATGAGCAGGCACCGTATCATCATGGTTTTTTTCGTATGGGTTTGAGCCACATACATGTCTCTCCCTTTATGATGGTCTGGCCGCCTGTTTTCCCTGCAAAGAAAAGGGACACAATCAAGAGCAATGATCCCACTGTGCTTTGATCTTTGTGCTATCATTGCTAGGTACGACTTCTATGATAGAAAGCTATGTTTCTCTGATGAGGTACAGAAATGTATGACTAATCAATATTATTGGGTTGGGCTTGACTACATCTCATCTAGCTAGTGTGCCATTTTATCGTGTTTTATTCTTTAGTATTTGTCACTACTCTGCTGTAAACATGTGTTGTCTTGTCTGCTATTTTGCCAATAAGTATGAGTAATAGGCTTGTACCTGGTTCCGAGTTCATTAAAATATTAAGCGAAGCAATTCAAATGTGCAGATGTTCATGCCACATTGTAGAACACTAGATTCTGCGGAACGTAAGTTGGATATTAAGAACCTCTGTTCATTTCACTGAAAACATTCTGATGTTTACAGAAGTGTATTGCAAGTTATCCAGCAGAACTACACTGATCATCTAAGATTAACTGTGGTGCGTATAGTATTTTGCTATTTATTTCTCTTCCCAAAACAGTAGATATTGCAGTCAATTGGTCATGTAAGTTGGGTCTTAGAACCTCTGATCATCGTTTTATTCGTCCGGGTATGAACCACATACATATCTCTCTCTTTATGATGATCTGGCCTCCTATTTCCCCTGCACTGAACGGGCGGCATGATCAAGAGCAATGATCCCCCTGTGCTTTGATCTTTGTATTATCGTCACTGGGTACAACTTCTATGATGGAAAGCTATGTTTCTCTTATGAGGTATGGAAATGTATGACCAATCAATATTATTCAGATGGGCTTGAGTACATCTCATCTAGCTAGTGCATGCCTTTTTACTGTCTTCTATTCTTTAGTATTTGTCACTACTCTGCAATCAACATGTGTCGTTCTGTCTGCTATTTGGCCAATAAGTATGAGTAGGAACAATAGTCTCGTACTTAGTTCTGATTTTGATAGCAATATTAAGCTTACGAATACAAATGTATAGACGTTCATGCCACGTCGCACAACCTCTGCTCATTTCACTGAAAAAACATGAAGTTTGTAGAAGTGTATTGCAAGTTCTCCAGCAGAACTATACTGGGTCTTCTAAGATTAACCACGGTGCGTATAAGATATTGCATATAGTTGTTTCTCTTCCTGAAAGAGTAGATATTGCAGTGAACCGGTCATGTATGTTTGCAGAGGTATATTGCAAGATATACAGCAGAACTGTACTGAATCTTCCAAGTTTATCGGCAGTGTGCATTAATATTGACTTTCTGGTAATGATGGGTAGTGTAGAAACTTTGAAGAGACAGTGAAATAAAAATGGCGAGCATCAACTGAAAGGGAAATAACTGAATATACAGTTTTTTGCCAAGAAAGTTGTCCTGTGCAGGGATGGCTCAAAGGATAAGACAAGGTACTCATGTTATTCGTGATATGCTCTTTTTTTAAAAAAATCATCCATTTTGTCCATTTTTTATGTTATCAGAGCTGTAAGCCACCCATCATCACTAGTTACCAGTGCACTAGCAATTCTAAGGGAAAATTTAGTGGATGCCATTTCATATAGTGGTTTTAATGCCATTCCTTGTCACGCACAACTCCACAACTATGATAAAAAGATATGTGATGCATGACATGCACAAACTCCACCCCGGTGCTATTCCTTGTCACACACGAATGGCCATTAGAGTGGATCTTAATCTAGTTTACCAGGAACCTAACAAATCAACGGCTGAAGCATTGATTTTGATTGATCGATCGATACCTTTGATCTTTTTTCTATATATGATACCTAAAGTCCAGGTTATCTTGAACCTTATTCATCTTCGTTTTTCACTTATCGAAAACATTGTAAGCCTGACTGCTGTGTGTTAAGATATTGCATATATGACTTGCCAGTAATGCAGATTTTATCATAGCGATCAGTAATGCGAAAAACCTTTGATGACAGGCAAGCAAATTGAGCAGCAACTGGAAAAGAAATAACTGAAAGTATTACTTGTTGTGAGGATGCTTCATTTCTACTCCCTCCGTTTCAAAATAGATGACCCAACTTTGTACTAAAGTTAATATAAAGTTGGGTCATCTATTTTAGAACGGAGGGAGTATTTCTGGATAGGGATGGCTCAAAGGGTACAACAAGGTGTGCATCTTTTCACATTAAAACTTAATTTTGTTTCCAGTATTTTTTTCACAGCTTTTTTTCCCAGTATTTTTTGTCCACAAAGATATAAATCCGTCCATCATCACTAGTTCACTACTAGTATTTCCAAGGGAAAATTGTTAAGTATGAACTGGTTCACTACTTAATTTTATGATATCCTTAAGATAAAGGGGTTTTGGCCCAATGGCATCCAAAGAGAAAAATGTCATGTTAGATGTCCACATTATGCACCGATGGTATTTCTCCTTGCGCACAAATGGCAAAAAAGTCAATCAGAGTGGATCCAAGTCTAGCTTATCATGAACCCGTTGAATCATCAGCTGAAGCACTGAATTCGTTTGATACAGTCGTTCCTTTTTCTATACATCATACAAAAGTTCAGCCTTTCTCAGAACTTTCTTCTTCATTTTCACTTATATGTTTTCACAATCCTGGCCGGAGCGTACTACACCCTTGATGTGGGGCCACTGACGTGTGGGCCTGGCTCCACCTGTCAGTGTGCCAACGGCACGTCAGGGGAGCCACGTCCATCCTGGCCATGGCTAACTGCATGATTTTGACCCCTTCAAAAGGCAAAGGTTACAAAGCATGGTAGAATATAACCACTCAAAGAAGACATATTTTCAAATGGTTAGAAATAGAATGCAATATGCATCAACAAAGAAGCTAGTAATATATCTTGCAGATCCTCGTGAGGATACACACATCTAGGATGCCAAGAAGCACCAGGCCACTAAACAGCCTTCAGATGAAAGGCAGAGCATTCACAACATAACCCTCTAGTGTTGGAAAGAAGTTATGTGGAACAAGAGTTTGCTTGAGCCGAAAATAAGTAGGATCAACTTTTTTGTGATGGAACGTGGCGACCAACTTGCCATCCATACCAACCCCAAGTAGCGACTCGGCAAATTTGACCAGCACGAGCAACCCACCATCCCCAGACACGACCACCACATCCAAATCCAATGGACCGTCATACTTATTGGATTGCCCCCTGATCTCTGCAACAGGTAATTCAATTCGGCAATTGAAGGCCCAGACCTCTCTTTCGTAGTTTTGCAACATCCAGATATCAATGGTCGGCACAAAATCCAAGATGGCCATGCCGAGCTTGCCGTCTATCTCAAATAGGTCAGCATTGTCAGCAACGGGAGCACGCATCTCTCGGAACGACTCAGATGTGGTGTCAAACAACACTATCATCTTGCCTTCAATGTCTTCATGTGACGGGAACCAATGCAAGTTACCACTGAATAGCACATGATGTTCAAATTCCGGCATAATCACATCTGGCCACTCGATGCGCCTCGGTTGCTGGCCAAAGCCCAATGACAAGACATGGCACGAAACTTCACCACCGGGTGCTAGCTCATCGTCATTGTCTGGGTTAGGCTTGTACGAGTAGAGCAATAGTTTGTACTCACCGGTAGGGGTGTGAGGGTACAATCCCAGGAGCGTCCAACTACGATCCGTAGGCAGCAGGAGAGGAGCATACTGACGAGTTGCCGGATTGCAGATGAAGAGGTCGCTGTCGTCGATGCAGAAGATGAGGATGCCGTCACAGGAGACAACCAGATGAGAGTAGGCGAAGTCGCCGCCCAGATTCAATCAGGCGACGGACTGGAGCTGGTGACTGGTCAGGGGCGGCCAGACCTGGCCGATTGTTCAAGCAGCAGATGTCTATGGAGTCGTTAATGAGGTCTATATAATCGCCGTTGTCTAGGAGGGGGAGGGCAGGCTGGAGGGCGTGGTGAGCGAGGAGAAAGTCATGGGTGGAGGTTACACTGCGCCAGGAGCGGCAGACGGCGCGGCAGCGGAGGAGGGCTTTCGGGGGCAAGCGGACGAGGATCTCCCAGATGACGATCTCCTCCAGGAGACCACCGAGGGAAGGCGTCGCTCCTGCCCTTGCGGCCTTGCCAATGGTCGCCGGCTGAGAGCTGTGGATCGATCTGTCCCATGAGCAGAGCAGGAGTTGTCACGGCGCCGGAGGTCGGTCTAGGTCTTCCTCTTTCACGGAATCTAATATGCACGCGCTCAAGTGAACTAGCTAGCAACAGCCTCTTCTAAACATCAGGTAAAACTCACCAGAAAACAAATTAGGGGGATAAACTGACTGCCACACATTTATTAGTCAGCTAGAACAAGCTTAGAATAAGGAAACAACACGCTTGGATTGCTAATTAAGTAGCAAGTACTAATAAAAAGACCAATAGATAAAAGAGCAATATAATTCTTCAGTCCAGGAAAAAAGAAACATCACACAGATCGAACAGATAGCACATATTTCAAACGCGCATCAAATGACTTTTGATAATCTTAAAATCAGATGCACATTAGTCGCTTTCTTCGGTATGGAAGGATATCAACACAAGCATAGATTTCATGCAACTATATAACAGTCATAGCTTCGTGATTAATATGCATCAACAAACAAGCTGGTAGCTTATACTGGATCCAGTTCATACATATTGCAGCTCTTGAGGATACAACAACCTTCAGATAAAAGGTGGAGCATTCACAACATAATCCTCTAGTGTATGAAAGAAGGTATGCGAAACAAGAGATTGTTTAAGCTGAAAATAGGTATGATCTAATCCTTTGCGATGGAAAGTGGTGACCAACTTGCCATCCATGCCAACCCGAAGTAGCCAATCGGCAAATTTGACCAACACGAGCCACTCACCATCACCTGGCATGACAGTCACATAAAACGGCGACCGAATGTATGTGTCATACTTATCACACTGCTACCTGATCTCTGCAGACGGCAATTCAATCCTGCGATTTAAGACCCATATCTCCCTTTCATAATCTTGCAACACCCATATATCAATGATTTTCTCACAATCAAAGATGGCCACGCCAAACATGTCGTCCATTTCAAACAGGTCAACGCAGCAAGCAACAACGGGAGTACGCATCTCCCGGAACAATTCAGATCTGGTGTCGAGCACCCCTATCGTTTTGCATTCTCCGTCATAATCAGATGTGCACCAATGCAGGCTACCACGGAATAGCACATGAGGGTCGTCTACTCGTCTAATCCGAGCATAATCGCATCTGGCAACCCGATATGCCTCGGTGGATGGCCGGAGCCCAATGCATCTTGACGCTCATCGTCTGTGATACGCTTGTATGAGTAGAGCAATAGTCTGTACTCGTCGGTAGGGGGGTGAGGGTACATTCCTAGGAGCCACCACACATGACCCAAAGGGAACGGGAGGCGAGCATACTGGCGAGTGGCCGGATTGCAGATGAAGAAGCCGCTGTCCTCGACGCAGAGGATGAGGAGGCCATCGCAGGAGGCAACCGGATGATAGTAGGAGATATTGTCGCCTCCGCAGTCGACCCTCATCAAGGCGGCATCTAGATGAAAGGAGGTTTGGGCAGTAAGTCGGGCGACGGGCTGGAGCTGGTCGGGGGTGGCCACCCCTGCCCGATGGTCGAAGCAGACGATGTTTAGCGAGTTGGAGATGCCTTTTGCATAGTTGGTGCAGTCGTCGAGGAGGAGGAGGGCGGGCTGGTGGGCATGTTGGGCGAGGAGGAAGTCGCGGGTGGAGGTGATGCTGCGCCAGGCGCGGCAGACGGTGCGGCAGCGGAGGAGGTCTTTAGGGGGCAGGCGGACGAGAATCTCCCATATCACGATCTCCTCCGGGAGGGCACGGAGGGGAGCCATCGCTTCTGCCTCTGCGGGCTTGGCCATGGTCGCCGGCTGAGAGCTCTCGGTCCGTCCTACGGTCCTAGTAGGAGCAAAGCAGGCGGTGTGATGGCGGCGTATGTAGCTAGGTCATCTTTCTCTGTCACGGAATATGCATGGTCTGCGGTTATGAGATACGATCCAACAAACCCGCTGCTGTATATATAGCCCGTTTTCCCCTCTGACGGAAAGTTGAAGAAGGATAGGATCCGGTCCAGGGCCAACGCGTCCGCGTGATTCGTATGGGAAGAGAGAGCTCGTGTGCCTGCCCGGTCGCGTATGCGTTTCACGGTATCAAACGTGCTGTGCGGCGTGCCTGTGTCCAAGCCTCCAAGGGATCGATCTTTTTTTTTTTTTGAGGATCAAGGGATCGATCATTTTTTTTGAACATCAGTACAGACACAAGCGCTCATATACACGCGCATACACTCACCCCTATGAACGCACACACGCACACCCTACCCCTATGAGCACCTCCGAAAGACTGAGCCGGCATATCATCTTGAAATTTACGAAGTCACCATAGGCACCTTCGTCATCGACGGGAACGTCTCCTCCCATTGAATGCGCATCGCCGGAAATCCTGAAATAAATCCAGAAATAAATGCAAGCACCAGGATTTGAACCCTGGTGGGCTGGGGATACCACAGTCCCTCTAACCATCCAACCACAGGTTGGTTCGCAATCATTGATGCATTAACATACGCTTGCCACGGTCACGATACCATGCATTGGTCGCGGACGGCGCTTTTTTTTCTTTTGCGAGAGAAATACTTGTATTACTCAGTCACAAAGTCCTTACAATCATCATGGGCTAATTCCACAACCTCCACTGGACCCGACCATAACCAAGTCATAGTCCGACCTTGTACTTTAGCAAAGCTAGCGAATCTATCACTCGCTTTATTTTGAGAAGGAGATACAAGAGTAATACAAGTCTGCCGAAGTTTCATCATGAATTTAATTTCATTCACCACGGATGCGTAGACCAGTAATCATAGACACGGCCATGCTCTAATCCATCTCAATGGTTATAGGAAGATCAGATTGTTATAGTGCCAAAGAGAGTCCTTTCATACATGCACACAACTCCGCCTCCAATGCATCTCTGCAGGACCATAATACTATGCAAGCTGAATATATAATGGTACCTGCATTATTTCGCAGAATCATCCCAGCACCAGCAACAGTATTTGATACAAAGAAGCCGTCTGTATTTAGCTTAACCCAGCCTCGTACAGGGGAAACCAAGCGGGTTCCTTCGCTGGCTCGGCAGCATTAGAAAATTTAGCAGCAGAGTCAAACGTAATGATCTCTTTCCCCTTGGCCGGATCAAACTGAGAGTTCAGCTTAATACTCATAAGCTCAACCATATACTTCTGAAGAAACCTGATGGACACATGCATGGGGGGCGCAGGTTTGTAATGCACTAGCTCATTATAGACATACCAACTTCTCCAGAAAATTAGCAACATCATACATCGTTCAATCTCACCAAGTGGAGCTAGAATCTGAAGGAGCCATTCCTTTCCAGTGGGAAGCACAGAATCAATTGCAGGCAATTTCCAAAGCTTGGCCATTGCAAGATACAGATCGCGACCAAATTGACATCGCAAGAACGGGTGGTAATTATCTTCCTCCTCCATACCTGTCGGAGTAAATGACCACGGGTAGCCTAACCGGCTCCCTTTAGCCCTCAGAAAAAACAATAGGCCGACGGAGCCTTGAGGCGCCCAAGACACGGGGCCGTCTTCTTCCGGCCGGCTATCGCCTAGGCCGACTAGCGGAAGGCGGCCCGGTTGTAAACAATCTTCGGAGGACGCCACAACAGGGCCGACTCCAAGAAAGCCGGCCCATGGCAGGCGGCCATGGGCCGCACCCTATAGTCAACCCCCCATAACAGTGACGAGACAGGGCGTGGCTACAGTGGATCCTGCCACCCCCGAATCTCGAAACAAGCATGGCTACAGTACGCCGTACAGGGCGGACATCTCCTGTCCGGCGAGACACTGTTGCCATGCGAATCATGACACCATCCACGACGGGCCGCTGGTACGGCCCAGAGGCAGCGGGCCCCTTCGGTCAGAGAGACATCCGAAGGCGGCCTGGCCTCCCCAAGCCGGCCTAAGCCAGGCTGGCTTCCTACAGCCGGCTAGCTCCCCTCCCCGGGGCGCGCGCACCATTAAGCAGACAAGACGAGGTAAGGCTACAGTGAGCACCCGCAAGGCGGCAACACTGTAGCCATGCTTACCTCAACAAAGCCCTCGTCATCAGAGGCGAGGCGACAGTGACCAGCCCCCGACAAGACCCCCCAAGCGGTAGGGCCGGCCTATCAACCAATGAGCCGGCAGCAGGCGGGACCCACCAGTCGGCGGCCCTCAGAAGCCGGCGAACGTAGACGCTGACGGCCTGGGCCCATGCCCAGGCCGGATTACCATTGTACCCGGGGGGGTAGGCCTATATAAACCCCCCGGGGCACCCATGCAAAGGGTTGATCTCATAGAGTTTTAGACACTACCATAGAGAGAGAAGAGAGCTAGCCTTGCCCTCCTTCCTCCTCCCACCGAACAGCTCAAGGAGCATC